TGCGAGTTAATTATTAAGATGATCCCCAAGTCATTCACCAACCACTAAGGACGGTATGGTAGAACAATAGTCTCATATAATCCTAGCCCTAGACTATTATAAGCAAGATTTATTGCCATTGGGGGTGAGTGACTTTAGACCTAAGCATTCAACAGCTGCATTGCTTTGGTTGATTTCTGGGCCTTTTGCTAAATATTAAAATGTCGTCGTTATAACCAGGGAGATGTAAAACAGGCTCACCACTCCCTGTTATAATCAGAGTGGATTTTGCATCATAGGTGATTTTTTATTACATAAGAAATCAATATTATTTATTTATTCAATAATATTTTGAGGGAGTAGCTCTAACAGCAATCACAAAAAAATATGAAATTGCAATGACCCTTCAAATTTTTTTTGTCGCTAAACATATTTTGAAACGAAATTGTTTCCTGTCTGTGAGCTAGTAAAATATTCTAAAATATGTGTTTTCTACATTTTATACATAGTTATCAAGGATCAATTGACAGCTCGACAGAAAAAGGTGTATCAGGATGTAAACCGAATGACCCCGGCAACCTGGAATAAGAAATATGATATAGACATTAATCAGGTATTCACTAACCTCATTCTACTAAAATCGAAAAGAGAAAACAAAGAGAAACAAAGCAGAGGGACAACAACAGATACATCTGAGCCTGCACCTGAGCCTACAACATTGACAGAGGTGTTGAGTATTATGAAATCTACTGATTCATGTAAAACGCTAATAACAGGTAAAGGAGGGATGGGCAAAACCACCCTTCTCAGATATATTGCTTATAATTGGGCTACTGACGTAGATAATACGTTTGATGGTAAAATATTGTTTCTGATAAACATCAGAGACATAAAAGAAAGTGCGAATTTCCTGGATGTAATCATGAGGCAAATACATTATGCGAAAGAAATAATTCTGGAAAACAATTTGCCAAATGATTCAGTTGAGAGATTCTTGGTCATTCATGCTAATGAAATAGTAATTTTATTAGATGGATATGATGAGTTAGAAAGAAATGCCAAAGACCCAGTAAATTTATTCAAAGGGCTTGAATTAGGAAAAAGCACCGTGTTGTTAACATCTCGGCCTGAGAATATAGATGATTTGATTAAAAATTGCGATGTGCAATTTGAAGTGAATGGATTTAGTAAAATAAACATTCGAGAGTATATTTATAAATATTTTGCTTCAATCAATAAAATTGAATTGGGTAAATCACTAAATCAAGAGCTCGGACTAATTTCAACTGAACATGCATATTTTGCTGGTGGTAATCGCAAAGTAACACTTGAATTGTGCTCATCTCCACTGTTATTGCTTAAGGTTTGTACCATATGGGGACAGAAACAACATATTCCTGAAGACTTGTCAGATCTTTTCAAGGAACTGTTTTGTTGCATTTTAAATCAATACAAAAACAGGTCTGGAAATAAAATTGCTGTTTCCCAATTTAATAAAATTCCAAAGGAATATAAATGTGCCATTCTGGCATTAGGAAAATGCATCTATGAAGGTCTACAGGAAAATTTACTGACTATAGACAAATATGAGTTAACAAAGATACTTGAGAATGACGAAGACCTAGTAGATTTAGCACTGAAACCTGGATTTGTTTATAGAAATAACCCTGTTTGTCCTGATGATTTAAATGAAATTTACACAACTCCACACAAGTTACTCTCTGAAGCGCTAGCGGGATTTCATGTGGCGGAACAAACTCAGATAGATCGTTTTATAGTTGATGAGTATGAGATGATAAGATCTAATAAATATTTACACATGACAAGAGTGTTTGCAATAGGATTTCTAGGTGATGATGCTGGTAAGTTACTAAAACATTGGTTGATAATCGGGCCATCAAATTATTATTCATTAGCACAATATTTTAGATATATAAAAAAAGAACACCAGGAACACGTTCTACAAATACTAGATGAGCATATGTCAATTGAAATGAAAAACCAATCTGAACAAATGTATGACTCATTTGAAAATGTTCTTCCTTGGCTTTGTGATGAAAGTGTAACAGTAAGTAAGGGTGTACATTTGATATCACTGATGAGCCGGTGTTGTGTTAAGTATGAAGAACAACCTGAAAAACTTGAGCAATGTATGCTATCCAATATTGAAAAATCTACTGAAATCTCACATATCTGTTCAGTGCTAGTTCATATCTTATTTATACTCCAAGGATTAGTTAGGGATCATTGTAGGGGATGTATAAACATGTTTAACTACCTCAACAGTTGGAAAGAAACGGAAATTGATATTCTTTCAGCTACAATGGGGAAACTTAAATTTCAATATACTTGGATTGCCTTTGAAGTTTCTACCGAGATGAATCCTAAACTTCTGATTTTGCTTTTGAAAAATGCTTCTTATTTGGCATCTCTAAGCTTTTACTATAACAGTGTAACTGGTGTAGTGTTGAATCAAGTGTTAACTGACCTTCTTGAAAGTCAAACTTCCTTGAAACTAAGTGAACTTGATCTTAGCAAAAATGATCTATATGATGGAGTATCATTTGTAAATTTAGTTAAAACTGCACCTCAATTGAAAGTACTAAAAATGAGTGACTGCAAATTAACAGGAACAATTCTAAATGAAATGGTCATAGAGTGCCAGAGCTACCAAGTGGTATTAAATTTAAAACATCTTGACATCAGCCGTAATAATTTCAGAGGTAGTAATGAGGCAATACTTGTAAATTTACTTAAAATAGTTCCTAAACTGGAATTTTTAGATATTAGTGAAAATTACATGACATTTAGATTTAGGTTTAACTTTGGTGAGGTATTGCAAAAACTTGATCTGAATGGCAACGACCTTTCAAATATTAATGGTGTATTCCTTATTAAGCTAATGAGGTTATTAGATGATGATTCCTTTACATGGGTTAATTATAGTCTTACATGCGTTAACTTGCAAGATCTTGTAAATTCATGTGGTGTAGATGTTAGATTGACATGGAATTACTTAAAATTAAGTGGGATTAATCTAGCATCAGTCAGTGGAAGAACATTAGCACGTCTAATTAAAATTTCTCCACAACTGAGCCACCTTGAAATGAAAAATTGTAATTTGTCAGGCAATAGCATAAGAGATTTATTAAATGAATGTGATAACATTGGTGTGGTATTGAAAGACAATATGCTTAGACTACAGGTCAATGATCTTTCGGATATCGACGGTGTATCACTTGCCAAGTTAGTGAGAATGATTGCTGAATATAAATATGAATATCCCGCTAAAAAAAAAATCACATGGTGTAAATATTGTCTTTCAGCTGTTAACTTGCAAGATCTTGTAAATGCATGTGGGGTAGATGGTAGAATGACATGGAATAACTTAGATTTAAGTGGGATTAACCTAGCATCTGTTAATGGAAAAACATTAGCACGTCTAATCGAAATCTCTCCACAACTGAGTCATCTTAATATGAGAAATTGTAATCTGTCAGGCAGTAGCATAAGAGATGTATTAAATGAATGTGATAAGATCGATGTAGTATTGAAAGACAATATGCTTAAACTAAAGGACAATTTCATTTTTTATATTGATGGTGTATCACTTGCAAAGTTTGTGAGAATGATTTCTAAATCAGAATATTATGATAATCATCCCATTAATGAACCATTCGCATGGTGGAACTATTGTCTTTCAGCTGTTAACCTGCAAGATCTTGTTAATTCATGTGGTGTAGATGGTAGATTGCCATGGAATTGTTTAGATTTAAGTGGGATTAACCTAGCATCAGTCAATGGAAAAACATTAGCACGTCTAATACAAATCTCCCCACAACTGTGCCATCTTGATATGAGAAATTGTAATTTGTCAGGCAGTAGTATAAGAGATATAATAATTGAATGTGATAAGATCGGTATGGTATTGAACAGCAATATGCTCAGAGTAAGATTCAATAACCTTTCAGATATCGATGGTGCATCACTTGCTAAGTTAGTGAGAATTATTGATGTGTGTCGTCATGATTATTCCAATTCTCCTTATAATTATTTGAGTTTAGAAAGACGGGCTTCCCCACAATACCAACAACCATTCATATGGAACGATTATTGTCTTTCAGCTGTTAACTTGCAAGATCTTGTAAATTCATGCGGTGACGATGGTAGATTGCCATGGTCTAATTTGGATTTAAGTGGGATTAATCTAGCATCCGTCAATGGAAGAACATTAGCACGTTTAATTAAAATTTCTCCACAACTAAGCAATCTTGATTTGAGAAATTGTAATTTGTCAGGCAGTAGTATAAGAGATGTATTAAATGAATGTGATAAGATGGGTGTGGTATTGAAAGGCACAGTTCTCAGACTAAAAGGCAATGACCTCTCTGATATCGATGGTGTATTACTTGCTAAGTTAGTGAGAATTAATCCTGACTGTGATTATGATTATTCCAATTTTCCTGATAAACTATTGCTGATGTCTATATTAGGAGGTCGGGCTTTCATGTCAAAATCATTCATATGGAACGATTATTGTCTTTCAGCTGTAAACCTGCAAGATTTTGTAAACTCATATGGTGTGGAAGATGGACTCACGTGGAATAAGCTAGATTTAAGTGGGATTAATCTATCATCCGTCAATGGAAAAACATTAGCACGTCTAATTAAAATCTCTCCACAACTAAGCGATCTTGATATGAGAAATTGTAATTTGTCAGGTAGTAGTATAAGAGATGTATTAAATGAATGTGATAAGATGGGTGTGGTATTGAAAGACAATATGCTCAGACTAAAAGGCAATGACCTCTCCGATATCGATGGTGTATCACTTGCTAAGTTAGTGAGAATAAATGCTGCATTCGATTATGATTATTCCAATACTTCTAATCAATGTTTAAGATTACAAAGTCAGGCTTCCCTGTCGGAACCATTCATATGGAATGATTATTGTTTTTCAGCTATAAACCTGCAAAGTTTTGTAAATTCATGTGGTGTAGAAGGTAGACTACTATGGACTAATTTAAATTTAAGAGGGATTGACCTAGCATCAGTCAATGGAAGAACATTAGCACGTCTAATCAAAATCTCTCCACAGCTGAGCAATCTTGATATGATAAATTGTAATTTGTCGGGTAGTACTATAAGAGATGCATTAAACGAATGTGATAAAATGGGTGTGGTATTAAAAGGCATAATTCTCAGACTAAAAGGCAATGACCTTTCAGATATCGATGGTGTATCACTTGTTAAGTTAGTGAGAATGATTACCGGTACTGTATGTCGTTTTAAAGATCGGGCTTCCCTACCAGAACCATTCATATGGAATGATTATTGTTTTTCAGCTGTAAACCTGCAAGATTTTGTAAGTTCATGTGGTGTAGATGATAGACTAATATGGACTAATTTAAATTTAAGTGGGATTAATCTAGCATCCGTCAATGGAAGAACATTAGCACGTCTAATCAACATCTCTCCACGGCTAAGCCATCTTGATTTGAGAAATTGTAATTTGTCAGGCAGTAGTATAAGAGATGTAATAAATGAATGCGATAAGATGGGTGTGGTATTGAAAGGCAAAATGCTTAAAATAAAAGGCAATGATCTCTCAGATATCGATGGCCTATCACTTGCTAAGTTAGTGAGAATGAATGCTGCATTTGGTTATTCCAATACATTTAATCAACGTTTGAGATTACAAGGTCGGGCTTCCCTGCCAGAAATATTCATATGGAATGATTATTGTTTTTCAGCTGTAAACCTGCAAAGTTTTGTAAATTCATGTGGTGTAGAATGTAGACTACTATGGACTAATTTAGATTTAAGTGGGATTAACCTAGCGTTAGTCAATGGAAGAACAATAGCATATCTAATCAAAATCTCTCCACAACTTAGCCATCTTGATATGAGAAATTGTAATTTGTCAGGCAGTAGTATAAGAGATGTAGTAAATGAATGTGATAAGGACGATGTGGTATTGAAAGACAATATGCTTAAACTAAAGGACAATGACCTTTCAGATATCAATGGTGTATCACTTGCTAAGTTAGTGAGAATTATTGTTGTATGTAGTTACGAATATTTCATGGCAGGATATCGGACTTTCTCACATAAATCACAAACATTCATATGGAATAATTATCGTTTTTCAGCTATTAACCTGCAAGATCTTGTAAATTCATGCGGTGACGATGGTAGATTACCATGGTCTAATTTAGATTTAAGTGGGATTAATCTAGAATCCGTCAATGGAAGAACAATAGCACGTCTAATTAAAATTTCTCCACATCTAAGCGATCTTGGTATGAGAAATTGTAATTTGTCAGGTAGTACTATAAGAGATGTATTAAACGAATGTGATAAGATGGGTGTGGTATTAAAAGGCACAATTCTTAGACTGAAAGGCAATGACCTTTCAGATATCGATGGTGTATCACTCGCTAAGTTAGTGAGAATGTTTACTGTATGTTCCAATACTTCTCATATCTGTTCTAGGTTTATTGAAGATCAGGCTTTCCTACTAGAACCATTCATGTGGAATGATTATTGTTTTTCAGCTGTAAACCTGCAAGATTTTGTAAGTTCATGTGGTGTAGATGATATACTAATATGGACTAATTTAAATTTAAGTGGGATTAATCTAGCATCCGTCAATGGAAAAACATTAGCACGTCTAATCAACATCTCTCCACAGCTAAGCCATCTTGATTTGAGAAATTGTAATATGTCAGGCAGTAATATAAGAGATATATTAAATGAATGTGATAAGATGGGTGTGGTATTAAGAGGCAGCATGCTTAGGTTACAGGATAATGACCTTTCAGGTATCGATGGTCTCTCACTTGCTAAGTTAGTGAGAATGAGTGCTGTATGTCACTATAATTATCCACATTCTCCTTACAACCGTTTAAGTTTATTATAGTAGGAGAAAATTTGGCTTCCCCCCAACAACAACAACAACCATTCATATGGAATGATTATTGTCTTTCAGCTGTTAACTTGCAAGATCTTGTAAATTCATGCGGTGACGATGGTAGATTATGGTCTAATTTGGATTTAAGTAGGATTAATCTAGAATCCGTCAATGGAAGAACAATAGCACGTCTAATTAAAATTTCTCCACATCTAAGCAATCTTGATATGAGAAATTGTAATTTGTCAGGTAGTACTATAAGAGATGCATTAAACGAATGTGATAAGATGGGTGTGGTATTGAAAGGCACAATTCTTAGACTGAAAGGCAATGACCTTTCAGATATCGATGGTGTATCACTTGTTAAGTTAGTGAGAATGTTTGCTGTATGTCGTTATGATTATTACAATAGTTTTCATAACCGTTTTAGGTTTTTTGAAAATCGGGCTTCCCTACCAGAACCATTCATATGGAATGATTATTGTTTTTCAGCTGTAAACCTGCAAGATTTTGTAAGTTCATGTGGTGTAGATGATAGACTAATATGGACTCATTTAAATTTAAGTGGGATTAATCTAGCATCCGTCAATGGAAGAACATTAGCACGTCTAATCAACATCTCTCCACAGCTAAGCCATCTTGGTATGAGAAATTGTAATTTGTCAGGCAGTAGTATAAGAGATATATTAAATGAATGTGATAAGATGGGTGTGGTATTAAGAGGCAGTATGCTTAGGCTACAGGATAATGACCTTTCAGGTATCGATGGTCTCTCACTTGCTAAGTTAGTGAGAATGAATGCTGTATGTCACCATAATTATCCACATCCTCCTTATAACAGTTTGAAATTAATTTTAAAAGACAATTTGACCCCACAACAACAACAACAACCATTCATATGGAATGATTATTGTCTTTCAGCTGTTAACTTGCAAGGTTTTGTAAATTCATGCGGTGACGATGGTAGATTACAATGGTCTATTTTGGATTTAAGTGGGATTAATCTAGCATCCGTTAATGGAAGAACAATAGCACGTCTAATTAAAATTTCTCCACATCTAAGCAATCTTGGTATGAGAAATTGTAATTTGTCAGGCAGTAGTATAAGAGATGTATTAAACGAATGTGATAAGATGGGTGTGGTATTAAAAGGCACAATTCTCAGACTAAAAGGCAATGACCTTTCAGATATCGATGGTGTATCACTCGCTAAGTTAGTGAGAATTATTGCTGTGTGTCGTTATGATTATTCCAATTTTCGTTATAACCAATTGAGTTTAGTACGGGCTTCCCCACAATACCAACAGCCATTCATATGGAACGATTATTGTCTTTCAGCTGTTAACTTGCAAAGTCTTGTAAATTCATGCGGTGAAAATGGTAGATTGCCATGGTCTAATTTAGATTTAAGTGGAATTATTCTAGCATCCGTCAATGGAAGAACAATAGCACGTCTAATTAAAATCTCTCCACAACTAAGCAATCTTGATATGAGAAATTGTAATTTGTCAGGCAGTAGTATAAGAGATATATTAATTGAATGTGATAAGATGGGTGTGGTATTGAAAGGCAAAATTCTCAGACTAAAAGGCAATGACATTTCAGATATTGATGGTGTATACCTTGCTAAAATAGTGAAATTATCAGTCGATGTACCTTTCAAATGGCATGAGTATTTTCTTTCTACAGCTAACCTTCAAGACCTTGTAAGTTCACTTGGTAAAGATAATTCAAATATTGAGATAGATTTGAGTAATATTAATCTGTCTGAATTAAATCCTTCATTTTTCAGTACATTAGGAAATATCTACAATATTATAATGATCGATTGTAGTCTACGTAAGAGTATGTTGCATGATTCGGTGCAGATGCTTTCAGATCGTAACGTCAAATTAGCACTTGTTAAACTAGATCTCGGCAATAACAACCTTGCTGAATTAAGTGGACAGTCACTAACTTCACTTTTATGTATTTTCCCTAACTTACGACAACTGAGTATGAGCAGGTGCCATTTGCGGAGCATAGTATTATATGATATGGTTACAAAATGCAAAGAAAGAAATATTGTTTTTAGAATCACTGACCTTGATCTTAGTGGCAATGATTTTAGTAGCCTTAATGGGGCAACAATCTCTGCTTTGTCTAGACATATCCCTTTTCTAAAACGCCTCAACATGAGTGACTGTAGTTTATCAGGTAGCATTATGGAGGATTTATCAAAGATATCTTCAGATGGAAAAAGAATGATGGCGTTAAAAAACGTAAACCTAAGTGGCAACAATTTTAATGTACTTTGTAAAACAATAGCTGCGCCTGGGTTTAATGGTTTGATAAGATTTGTTCCTGGTTTGAAGACACTTGATATTAGTAAATGTAGTCTATCAGGTAGCATTGTGCAACATTTGTGTTCAGAAAACAATAAATTGATGAAATTAACAAGCATTTCTCTTGGAGGGAATGATCTCAGTGGTCTAAATTGGTCATCAATTGCTTCAGAATTTCTATTTACATTTACAAGACTTAAGATTCTGAAGATAAATGATTGTCATTTGACAGGTAGTGGTCTACATAATATAGCAAATTACTTCTCAAAGACAGGTCTAGGTTATATTTTGAAATTAACTGAAGTTGATCTGAGTAATAATGATCTGGGTAACGTTGACGTACCTTCATTATTACCATTAATACAAGCTGTACCGAAAATGGAAGTCCTCAACATAAGTAACTGTAATATAAAGGGTAAAGATGTAACTGATTTAATACATGTTTTATTATATGTAGATTCCTGGTCTTCATTGCGTCATTTTTATGTTCACAAGAACAATTTCAGTGACATTGATGGGTCATCCCTAGCTTCTATCTCGTCATTTAATCATTTATTATATCTAGATGTATCTTCTTGTCATTTAAATGATGACATTTTTATAGACATGGTAGATTCATGGAAATTTGAGAGTCTTCATTCATTACAAATTAACATTCGTGATAACAATGTAGTTAATAAGTTCAAGGTTGAAAAGAAACTTAGTGCTATCACATGCGACCTTAAAACTGATTGATTTTACTACCCTCCAACTAATTTTTATGTGATATAAGTGTACTACAATGTATATCGGAGAGAAAACTGTCATTTGTAAAAGTAGTAGAAGTTACTACATTTTCGCCATATTTATATTGTATTTTCGCCATATTTATATTAGTATATTATTATAAAGCGCAACTACCTTAAGGGCGGGAGACAGAGTCGTTTTAAGTGCCAAGCGAGTTCATATCCGCATGGTGAAACGTACCAAAAAATGAGACACGGTAGCTTTGATTAGACATATTTATTACTATTTAGTTTCGTGCTACACATACATGGTGCAACACTCTTCAAATAAAATAGTCTAATGACTAAGATTATCACAGATTAATTAATTGTAAGACTGAGCATGTGTAGAGTAAATTCGGTAGTTGAAAGGCAGCGGTAGACTGTGATCATTAAGTAATTAACAAAAGATTGAATGACAAACTTATTGCAAACATGTACATTTCTTACTTCATTAAAAAAAAGTATCTCTGACACAATAATCAATTGGTAAAATAGGCTGTAGGATATTGCAAGGAAGCTTTGCAAGGCCATAATTATAGGTACCAATTGTGGACACAATTGGTCGGAATAGTGGTGCAGTACTGGGTTTTCTGTGCTTGGGAAGACCATATATCCGGGCTGGTTATGAACCTGTTGGGTAAATGCTGTCATATGTGTCCTTATCAAAAATCCCCCCTTTTTTTTTAACGATCTGAGGAAACGTTGTAACTTGCCTTCTCTTAAGATGGTCAGATCGTTATCAAGTTGGCTAAATTTAGTTTGATCAAAAATAATGCTTGAAATGGAGGAGTCGTCTTGCGATCAAGGATGACCAAGCCGTTACCTTTATCAGGGTTTAGAATGACAGTATTTCGGTTTTGTTTCAGTTCCTTTAGTAATCGGATTTTCCGTATGTCCTTAACAGTGGGACGGTAAGAATTTACATAAGTGTTGGCCAAATGTGAAAGTTTAGAACAAAGTAAACCAGTTTGTATTTGATTTGTTAGATTTCCCAATATTGATCTATAGATCATCTCGAAACAAGTGAAGATATCTGTTTTGTCAGATGTGGTGGATTTTAAAACGCGCATAAAAGTTCACATATTTTTAAACACTTAAATATTTCCCATAAATGTAAGGGACGTTTGTAACGAGGGCTGCTTCAAAATAGTATGTTCTGCCAAAACCTCTTATCAACGAAAAATCAAAGAAGCATCGCATATACTGCAGGAGCAGCCCTCTCTTAATAGACAATAATACAACATGTAAATTCTTCATCTTTATTCATGCCCTTTTTCATACGCTCGAGTTCGCCTATTTACCATGACATGTCATTGCATTTGTTCACTCCTATAAATACATGTAAGTCCTTTTTATTATTGTTACACCCAAGGTGGCAGTGGAACTGTTTGTACCAATTTATATAATAAAAAAGTAAGGCTCAGTCTAAATGGTATCATTGAAACCTGTTTTGATTTTTTTCAGATATATATATATATACATATACTGTATATATATATACATATATATATACATATATATACAGTTGCGCTTTTTATACATATATATATATATATATATATATATATATAT